GCAGCGCAATGTGAGGAAAACCAAGGAGAAGAGTGAGGCTTGACCTGGAATCGTCGAGAGGGAATAAAAGATTCCATGCCAGCCTGAATCCACGAAGTTATGTAAGAAGCACATTTGTCAGCAGGAAGACGAAAGATTTCTACCCAAGGGCCATCACGAAGAAAATCACGGAAAGAGTCCCAGTCAGCTTTAAGGTAGTTGTATGTGGTACGATGATAGGGGGATTCTGATGAAGTAGAAGAATTTGATAATAGTTTTAGAGAGATCAAACCGTGATCAGAAGTACCTAAGGGTGAATGTGGAGAAATTGAGCACTGACTAGGATCCAAAACAAGACATAAGTCGAGTAGAGAAGGTAAATGATTAGGGTTGTCTGGAAAACGAGTTGGAAAGTTGACTATTTGAGTTAGAGATTGAGAAAGGCAAAAGTTGAGGGCCTTAACGCCAGCAGAGTCACTGACACAAGAGCCAAGCCAATCGGTGTGGTGGGCATTAAAGTCACCAACAACGACGATATTGGCCGATGGATAAAGAGAGAGGGCTTGGTCAATTTGATCAGAAATAACATCAAGAATAGTGCAATCTTGGGATGAAGGAGAGCGATATAGAACAAAGAGAAAGGCGATAGAGTGAAGTTGTGCTAAACGAAAGCACATAAATGAATAGTCTGTAGATTCAAACCTAGTTTCACGACAAATGGGTGAGTTCTTACGAATGTAGATGCCCAGACCAAGCATGTGATTATTGGAGTCTTTACGAATTAAAGGAAGATAACCATCAACACTAAGATCACAAGATGGGACAGCCGAACTCAAATTAGTCTCACAAAGAGCAAGTAGGTCTGGTGAACTTTGCAAGAGATAAGACTCAACAGAAGAAAAGTTACTTCGAAGACCACGAATATTAGTAAATGATAGGTTTAGAGAACTTGGTGATGACGATGGTTTTTTGTGTTTTTTAGTTTTAGGTACTTTAGTCATTTTAAATTTATAAAGAACTTGACTCAAGTATAGATAGTACTCAGTACACTATTTAACAACTAAGCAATAGCCTCATTACTATTAATAAACCCTAAGCCGTAACAAAGGGCTCCAAATGTGGCCTCTGCAATGCACACCAAAAGTACAAACAGGGACACCATCCATGCGCAACATGGCACTGTTAGTACTCTGATATTTTTCGGCTGTTGATGGAATCAGCCTCTCTGAGAGCTACCACAGAGTTCGGGAATCCTGACTACCAGCCGGCCTCAGAACCATAAAACTGAGTTTTAGAGCTGTACCCTCATAAGGAGATAATAGAATGAGTTGCCCAGTCATAAAAATAGAGACACAAGCAATACCCACGCATTGAGTCAAGAAGATCCAGCGTTCAACATCCTAAACTGGAAACAATGTATTAAAAATACATCTGCGCCAGCCTAATAGATGAGGATTGCTGTGGCTTTTTTTACAACTTTTAAAACCTGGATATATAGCATGCTTATTATAAAAAGTTGTTCTTGTAGTATTGGTCATATATATATATATATATATATATATATATATATATATATATATATATATATATATATATATATATATATATATATATATATGCATTAAAAATATCTTTTAAAAAAGAAACAAATAGTATGTTATTGTGCATGATGTTTTAATGCTTATATTATTATTAAACAAACTATTAAATTTTTTTAATTCTCTTTATAAAACTTAAATTTTATAATCAAATATATGTGTATATTAGGGTGTGTCGATTTTTTTTTTTATCAAATATCAAAAAAGAGTAGTGAAAAAAGTAATTTTATGATTAGTTAAGAACAGAGAAATTTAAAAATTAAAACTTATTAAGGGCTACCTCGGTAAATTTTGATATGAATTTTTACACTTTTGGTCATTTAAACGTTTATTATTATTTTTTTAATTAAATTGTACTGATAATTATTTTTATACCAATTATCATGATGTACAACTTCTAAATAAACAATAGCGCTTAAATACTGAAATTCAAAAATCTATATTTATGTTAAGTAAGCACTGGTGTTACCTAATATTCATTTTTACAAGGCAATGCTGTGGCTAGAATCCCCCCTCCTCAAAAAAAAAAAAAAAAAAAAAAAACAGGCTTTAGGGTTTAAAATTGCAAAAACCCTTCTATAATTAGGCATTACTAAAATACTGCATAATTTGAAAAAGAGCCCCTAAAATTCTCCCTATTACCATATACTGAAGGACTTACCCAACTCTAACTATTAAGAGTATTAAAGATACAAGTTTTTAATTAAGACACCGTTTTATAGTTTTTAGCTACTCCACCTGCATTTTAACAAGGGTTGCCATATCTTTTTTGCTTCTATTTCTTGACATTAAATGTCTACTTGCAAGCTGACCACGTATCTTCTCTCTCTTTTCTCATGTGTGTAAACATAGCCTGCAGCTTCAGTTACTATTTTGACACATCTCTCAACTGACTGTGTATGAGAAGTTCAAGAAAGAACTTTCATAGGACAATTTACGAACTCTTTGATGGTGGCAGATGTAAGAGTGCAGATAAGTGGTGGCTCAGTTACATTTAAGTCCCATGTTATAAGGTCTCCTAGCTAATTAGCATTAGGATTTATTTCTGGTGTTTTTCTTTATCTGATACTACTATCTCCAACTTGAGTTGCATTATCTCCTCCTCGAATCTTAAGAATCTTAGTTATATTGTAAAATGGCTTCAGAATGTGCATACCACGCTGATCGCCTAATTGTTGGCATAACAATATCTAAAACATTTTTTATCTGTGTTCTAAACTAGCTCTAGTTGATAAAAAATGTCTAGGTCCCTCTATCCAATTTGATTTCACTTTAATGTTAAACAAGTTAGGTATGTAAACACTAACAATAAAATTTACAATCATTTGTAAATTTTCTAGATTTTCACCATTAAGCCCATGGTTTGACACCCAAATTCTACAAAACCAGTGCTGTTGTTAGCCATCTACTGTGACAGACTGGTCCGATTTCCAGCATTGCTAACCTGATAGGCAGAACTCCAGTCTTTATTGCTTGGCAAATTTGATATGCATAACTTTGGTCAGTATTTAAATCCTTAATAATTTCCTGACTGAGATATATTAAAGGAGGACCTAAATTTATTATAGTGAAGTTTGAATTGATTTCAATTTTAGTTGCTGTGTCAAGCATTTTTCCAAGTGGTCCAGACCATTTATTGTAAGAAAGTGTTGCGCCATTTAAATTTTCAATTAAATGCCTTAACCCTAACTCACCAGTGTGTAGATCACAAACAATACACACACTAACCTTCTATTTAATTTTTTTTTTACCCATTGCATGACACCACCTGCCCAACCTGTATTCACATTTGTGCTATCTCTTCCAATAGCCATAAGATTTTGAATTTGATTCTTACTTTTTAACCAGTCAACCAAATGATCTGCAATAACTTCTGCTTTTTTTTTATCAGCTGTCACATCTGGAATGAAATGAAAAAGATGGTCACCCCCAGGTTCTTTTACAACAGAGTAATTTTACTCTTAATAAGGCTAGGAAAATTTCTTTCATTTACCTCTATAAACATTTTTGTAGCATCTACTCTCCCATCAAAAAAAAGGCATGTAATTGGATTTTTTTCTAGGTCTACCTAAAACTGATTGTCTAATTCTTTTGGTAATTTTTCTTGAGCCCTTTTGATCTTGTTATGATCTATAATAAGATTGAAATCACTCTTGCTTATAAGAAAATATTTTTGATTTTCATAGTATTATACCTGGAAAATGTTTGATTCAGGGAAGATTTGCAGTTAGTTGGACTATTTACTTGGATTATATTCTGCTCACAATCATCTTGAAATGTTATTAATGAGCTACTTGCATAAACTGTTACAACAGTATTATTTAACACCCCACCTACTCAATTTCATATTTTTCTACAAAAATACTATATAAATTTTTAATTTGACCAGTAATTGTACCCCATTTTAATAGAGAATATAAAGAAACGAAGCTCTACAACTGGAATTTTCTCTTCTCTCTTACATTTGCATTTTATATGAATTTTCTCCATACATTCTGAAGCACATTTATACTGTGAACAAAGAATTAATTTACATTTACATAGTAAAATGTCCACAAGTTAGTCTAATTTTAAAGAAAATTTCAGCTTTCTTACCACGTCTAAATCATAACTAAAATCAACAGCCGA